TTCTCATGACCATTGATCAACAACCACTGATCAAAGAGCTCTGTTACATCCCCCAGGAGGATGTCTCTTCTCCCTATTAACCCTTTGTTTTGTCCAGGCTCCACCTCCTCTGTCCTGATTGGATGCTGTGCAGAGTCCGGCTGATTGGTAATCAGCAGAGCACTATTTAAGGCCTGTGGAGCTGTGCTTCTGGGCCCTCCGGCCATTTTGGTTGCCATACTTGTGCAGGCTTGCATGCCTTTGTATTTTGTGTGAGCATTATTGTTTCATGTTCAGACTGCTTGTAGGGGAGAGCTGCCTTTTGTTTTGACACCCTGTTTTCTCCTGTTTATGTGTTGTTAGGTAGGTTATGGTTATAGGTTGTATATTTTGTTTCTTTGGAGTTAGGTAAGTTTCTTTTATTTCTACGTCAGGGATGTTTTGTTTGTTATGTTGGCCTTGGCTCTCCCTGACGTTACACCTCGGTCTGAACCCACGTCCCATCACCAGTATTAAATAAACCTTTTAAATTTACCATCTTGGCTCCTCCTTCTCTATCCACATTTATGTGCGTCCCTTCAACCCCCTAGACTAGCCAGGGGACGTAACACCTCTGATCAATGTCCATGAGTCCCATTCACAGAGAGTTGGGGAATGGCTGCAATCACAGCATGTAAGATGGTGACAGATGTACCCTTAGGCCCCTCCTCCATTCAGAGATGGTCTTTCCCTTTTCACGTAAATGGCCTCCTTGACTCCGCCCTCAAACCAGCGTTCCTCCCTGTCCAGGATGTTACATCCTCATCATTGAAAGAGTGTCCACTGGCCTGTAGGTGTAGAATAGACTGCAGAGTCCTGGCCTGACGAGGTGGCTCTGTCTGTGTTGGTCCATCCTCTTAGCCAGAGTTGTTTGGTTTCCCCGATGTATAAATCCTGGCATCCTCCGACTAACAGCGTACACTATGTTACTCTGTTTGTGTCGGGGGACCCGATCCTTGGGGTGGACCAGTTTTGGCGCAGCTGTGTTTTGGGGTTTAAAAGCCACAGAGACCTCGGTGTTTAGAGAAAATGTGTCTCAGCTGCTCCGATACTCCTGACACGTATCGGGATCACTACAGGTTTTGCACTTGGGCAGCGGTTGTCCTTCTCTCCTGGATCGGCTGGAGCTTTCTTTAGGTGCCTTTCCAGCTTTGACAAAAGTCCAGCTGGGATAACCACATTTACTCAGGGCCTTCTTGATGTTCTTCTGCCTCCCTGGCTGCTGTGTCAGTGGGGATGGTGTTCGCTCTGGTATGTTCCAGGGTAGGATACCAAAGCCTTCTTTTCCATTTCCTCCATGTACAAATTCGCCACGATGGGTGAAACTGGGGAGCCCACGGCACACCCATGTTTCTGCCTGTAGAACTGAGCCTTGTATGTGAAACAGGTGTAATGAAGACACAGTTCAAACACACTTGGTGGATGCTGAGAGCGGTCCTGTTGCTGAGGTTGGGGTCATCCTGTAATCTCTTACGGACCGCCTCCAACGCTTCCGTGACTGGGATGCAAGTGGTCATGAGAATTTGCATAATTAAGACTGCCCTCCCAGCCCATTGTTCCTTCAGTGGGCTGGTTTCAGTCATTATGCAAATGTGCTGTTTATAAGGTTGAAACCTGCAGTCAGCTGAGACTGAAGACGTCACCTGATGATGATGAAACGTTTCTCCCACAAAACGCTGCGTCCAGATGAACAGAATCAACTTTTGGAGAAAGTTAAACTTTTGTAAATGTAACATCCATCATTTTTTACAGTGTAGGCCCAGCTGCCTGTTAGAACAGAGAGCGCACAATTACACAACCAGTCCCTTCTGATAGCCTCCTGGCACCGCCCCCCGAACCCACTGCAACACAACTGAGCCATAATCCATCGACTGTTGGCTGAAGCCGTGTCATAAACAGTCAGATTTGAGTTCAAATGGTTTCAATGTTCAGTAAAGGTCAGGAGAGAGGTGCAACGTGTGCGTGTGCAGACATCTGTAAAACAAGGTGGAGGCTGTCTCGTGATTTGGGGCTGCATCTCAGCCAGTGGTGTTGAGGGTCTCGTCAAAATGGATAAAATTGTGAATGCAGAAAAATGCATGAATATTTTGATGCACTACACAGTATGATGGAAGACTGTCTGTGCCTTTGTGTAATGGATGATGCTACTGCACACACTGTGCAGCTCTTAGGATGGTTTTCCATGAAATCTACTTTACTGGTTATATGTGTTTGGTGAGTTGTTCTTTTTAGTTGTATTGTTGGAAGATAAAGCCTGCACTGAAGACTGGAGATAAAACAACGATTAAAAAAAAATCATTGCTGGTTCTAGTGGCTTTCATCCTTTTTGTGTTTGCTGATATGCACCTTACTGTGGTTTCCCTGCAGGACATCTTACCTCAGACACACCTCCTCCATCTTACATTACTGCCACCCACTCTGAGACTCCCAAATGCACAGCCAAAGCACGAGAGCAGGTAAATCCTCCTTTGAAAGATGAAAGCCGATGCACTGAAAGAAGGACTCACAGCTGATTGCCTCGGACACACAAATGCACACACTTTTTCCCTGATCTAAATACAATAAGTTTTGTGCATTTGAAGAAAGCGTTTTGTAAAGTTGAACTTAACAGCGTAATGTTGATTTGTTCCAGTTAAGTCACTGTGACACTGGAGGACAGCAGACGTGTTTGATTTTGAAGTAAATATTCTTGCCCTGACACGTGAATATTGCCTTGAGCTAAAACAAAACTCAAATCTAAACTAATCACTTATTTGTTTGAGTTTCTTTTCAAACTTATTTAACATACCAGTCAGCAGCGAAGCAGTTTGCAGAAACATGAAATAAGTCACTTAGCTAACAATTTAATTGCCCGTACAGCATTTAGAAATGTCCAGTACGTCATCAGTTGGCTGACAGCGAACAGCAAATTACACAACCAGTTACAGCAGTGTATAGCTCCAGCCTTTCCATGGAGCTCATCGTGTGTCTGCAGTAGCCGAGGAAGGACAAACCCAACACTGGGTACATACTGGGCCTCATGTCTCTTATGTTTGTAATGACGACTGCAGGTGAATGATATAATGAATGAATGAGGGCTATTCAGTTGGTTGGCTGCAACCACACCGCTACACAGGCAGCTTTAGTTCACAAACCTTAACAAAAAATAGACAAAAAATTATATCTAAAAAACCTGTTTTCCGATGATTTATCTTTAGACGCTCTTGTATTCGCAGCATGCCAGCTCAGCTCAGAGAGCAGAGGCAGACTCTGTGGTGGTGAAGGTTCACTACATTTACACTGTGGCTCTGTCTGTCCCTCTGGACACGACATACAGTGAACTTAAGGAACGAGTCGCAGAGAAATTGGACCAGCCGGCATCTCATCTGCGCCTCAGGTAACAGCAGAAGCTGACAAACAAATGCCCTCCATCAGAGTAAGAATGTTACAGTGTGCACAGACATCTGACATCTACATCAAACATGAACAGGCAGAAGATTTTCATTTTCTGTATTTTCCTGCTCATCTGCCAGTTTTTCATCTATTTTCCTGCTGATCCACCGCTTCCTCTCACTCCCTCGTCCTCTCTCATTAGACGTAAGCACCACGGCTCCTGCGTGCTGACACCTCTGGACGGGGAAATCGAGTCAGCTCACACTGTGCAACAGTTGGCTGAGGCCGGCAGAGCTACCCTGTGGTGCCAGGTTTGTATCTAAACTAAATATGGTGGTGGAGGTGTCACAGCAACACTGCCACCAGCTTCCCCACACGTTATAAATGTTGTGTTAGTTTATGTTCATAACAAGGCAGGAAGCCTGAAATGGTTTGGACGGGAAGAGGAGGGATGATTATAGTTATTATAGTGGGCAAAGGATTGAAATATGGAGCTGCAAGGCAGGAACAAAAGAGGAAGATTTATGGATGTAGTGAAAGAGGACATGCACAAGGTTGGTGCGACAGAAGAGGATGCTCGGAAAGGGTGACGCTGACACAGAAGATCTGCTGTGGAATAACTAAAAGCAGCAGAACAGAATCAGACACGAAGGGCATAGTAGTTAGCTACAGTGTCCCTGTCTATAGAGCCAGTGCTTGCATATACTGCACACTTTCCAAATGGACAGCTGAAAGACCACAACTACTAGTACCTTCATTCATTTACACTACCAGTCAAAAGTTTTACAACTTTTAAATTCAGAATTATTCCAGTTATTTATTACAAGTCATTCAGTCCAATGAACAGCTTGAAATGGTACAAAGGTGAGGGTGAACTGCCAGAGCATAAACAAAGGTGCAGTTACTCAAAACTGAAAAATAATGTACATTTCAGAATTATACAAAAAGCCTTTTTCAGGGACAACAAGGGTTAACAGGTTAAATCTGTTCTGCAGCAATGCAGGTTGATCAAGCCTTGAAAGCTGCTGCTACTAATTCCTGCAGCTGTTCCAACTTTCTGGATTACTCCCCCCTCTGCCTGCATAGAAGCAGTGCTGGACACACTGTGGTGCCATACGCTCGTGAGCATCAGTTAAACAGTATTGTACTGCAGAAAGTAGAGTGTTGCTACACAAATGGGGGGATAGGCAATTGACAATGGAAGAGAGACCATCATCATAACACTTATAAAAGTAGGTCTGTCCTACAGAGAAACTGCAGGTGTCAGTGAGTCCAGTTTCCTTCACCATCCAAAGGCTCAGAAACAAACTGTGACAGGAAGACGTCTGCAGACCCAAAGACACGACTCAGAGGACGAGTTTCTGAGAGTTAACAGCTGTGTGATGGCGGCTCACAGGACAACAGCTTCAAGCAGCTTAATAGTGGTCGTAGTGAGCAAGTCTCAGTTTCAGCTGTGAAGACTTTGAGGTGCAGGTTTGACAGGACGAGCTGCAGCAAGACAGCCAGACGTCAGAATAAGACAAGAGGTTTTCCTGAGCCATAAAACAGCAGAACTACTGAAGACTGGAAGAAGGTTTTATGGACCGAAACTAAATTTGAAATCTTGGGCTCATCACGCAGGATCTTTGTGCGCTGTCGAGTAGGTGAAAGGACGGATCCACAGTGTGTGGCATCAACTGTCAAACATGGAGCAGGAAGTGTGACGGTCTGGGGCTGTTTGCTGGATCCAGGGTCGGTGACTTGTACAGAGTGAGAGGCTCCCTGAACCAAAACAGCTACCACAGCACTCCATGCAGGACCCTCTGGTATGCAGATGGTCAGGGGTTCATCCTACAGCAAGATAATGACCCAAAACAGTCCAAGCTGTGCCAGAACTACCTCAGGAAAAAGAACAAGATGGTGAGCTTGAAACATGGAGCGTGCAGCACAGTCTGCAGACTTAAAGCCCATCCAGCTGGTTTGAACTGGACAGAAGAGGGAAAGCAAAGCAGCTACAAGGTCCACATTCATGGGGAATATTTGATTTCTATTGTAGAATGACTGGCACGGGTTTGTTCAGCTGCTCTATCTGCCAAAGGTGCTACTTTGGTGAGTCAAAGGTTAGAATACATTTTAGTCTATAAACTGATTCAATCTGTCTGCCTGTCTGTCCATCCGTCCGTCCGTCCGTCCGTCCCGGGTCCTCTACCAGAGGCCTGGAAGCTCGAGGGTCCTGCGTAGCTCTTCCCCTCCATGCATATATTTATATATGCATGTGTGTGTACTAACTCATTCAATGATTTTTCTTATTTTTATTTCTACAAAACTTTCATACGTTTTGTTCCATGTGTACATTTCAATGTGCACAAAAATGTGGAGGTAGTGTTTGTACAGAAATATGTGAAAAACTATCAAAGCTAAAGGCTTCAGATATTCACAGGTTCTTCTCACCAACTAAATAAATCAGGACGTAATTTAGAACAGATACATCTGAAATGTTGCAGTAACGACTTACTGAAATTTAAAAAAAATCAAGCAGTCCTGTTAAGTCCCATATTTGAGCACATACTAGTACAAAATACTTTACACTGCAAAAGACGGCAAGTAACTTTGTCTTAATTATTTCAGCTTTAAATATTATATTTGTCAATAATGCAAAAATAAAACACGAACATGAAATTTTGCCACACTTTTAAAGAAAATGTTATTTACATTTAACTGTTTGTCTTTTTGTGTCGAATTGTAACACACACCAAAAAACGTGAAGATGCTTCTCTAATGATATCTCAGCTAGTTTACAGGTTCGCTCTCTTACTCACACTGTGCTACTGAACTGCAGAAAGAAGATCCCCTGGCCGGCCGTACTATCCTCTACCAGATGGTGGCCCTTTATGATTATGATGCTCAGGGGCCCGAAGACCTGGAGTTCAGTGAAGGTGACACTATTGACATCCTCGGTGAAGGTGAGGCTCCACGGCTCAAAGTGAAACTTCTAATCATTGTTTTTGTCTGCAATTTGAATTGATGTTACATTCCTGGGTCATCTGTTTAGATGCAAAAAGTATTAATTTCCTCTTTGTTTCTCTGTTACACTCGTTTGTAGTTAACCAGGAGTGGCTGGAGGGACACTATGCAGGAAGTATTGGGATTTTCCCCAGCTGCTTCGCCTACAGGGAGAATAACAATATCACTACGAGCTCAGAGATTTTGTAATCAAAAGTTCATTGTTGCATTAATTCTTTAAAGCACCTATTATTCTATGAATTGTAACAGTTTTACAGGCTTGGAACAAGCAAACAGGCACGAGGCTGTTAAGTGCACCAAGTGCTATCTTCACTATGCTTTGAAGATCTTTTTAACAGAAACTTTTGTTTAAGAACATTATACATGAAACAATCATATTGGTGTATCCATCATTACCATATAATCTTTATTGCATGTTTGATAAATAATCCTTTGTATAATATTATTAACGTATATACTCTCAAGTGTGATATCAGACACTTCCTGGTTCATGAGCTTCTGTTCCCGAGTCAGTCACGTCTCAGTGTGAAGCCTGTGTCTCCGAGTCTGTCTTTGCATATGTGTTGTGTTTCCTGTCCTATGTCCGTGTATCCTGCTTTGCTTCCTTTGTCTCGTTATGTTGGACTAGCCCCAGCTGTGGCTCCTTCCTGTTTCCCATTACCTTCGCCCTTCGTGTTTGTCTCTGTTAGTTGTCGTGTCGTACCCTCGCAATGCTGTGGTTCGTCCTCTGTGCTCCAAGTAACTCTAATTCTCAGGTCCTGGTTTATTTTCTAGTGTTGTAGTGAGTTTTCTGTTTCTAGTTTTGTTTTATACTGATAATAGTGACTTCAGCAATAAAGCTGCTGCTTTCAGTTAAATTTCCTGCGTTGGGGTCCTGCATCCTGCCTGCCACACAGCAAAGCATCACATGATTATTCACATGTATACAGTATGCATGCATGCACATGTTCACAGACATACAGTGGGGCAAAAAAGTATTTAGTCAGCCACCGATTGTGCAAGTTCCCCC